TACTTGTTAGCCAATCTTGGACTGTGAAACCAGCAGTTATTTGATGGAGCGCTAAAAGTGTCAAGGCAGGGAATGCTTTTCCATGTGCTGACATATTGGCTCACCTTCTAACCCAACAGTGAACCCATCATCTCCAAGTGTCAGCAGTACCTCTTCTTCCTCAGACAACTCTACAATCTTCAAGTCCACCAATCGGTCCTGAAAATATTCTACAAATGAGTCAATGAACCAGTGATAACTTGGGTCCCTGTCTAACATGCATCGCAACCCAATGAACAAAATCACAACAATGAGCAGTAAAACAATCAGACTAATAACTAGCATTTACAAAATAAACTAAAGGGACAACATACTTATAGCCTCCGACACCACCCACAAACTTCTCAGTCTATACAGTCTCCTATCCTGAAGCCAAAGATACAAAAACAACAACATTATAGAATATGCTAAATCATCGTCAGTTGACAAGTTCTAGGATTGCAATACAACGACAATGATCTTGTGATGACCCTGCAACCACGCGAGGTTGTCTGTGTATGTGCGTGTGTGTGTGTGTGTGTGTGTGTGTGTGTGTGTGTGTGTGTGTGTGTGTGTGTGTGTGTGTGTGGGGGGGGTGTTTCAGGGGGTGTGTCCTGGCTGGAGGCTCATCAGCAGGATTGTTGCACCTGGGCCCTGTGCACTCTGCCTTCTAAAGACCTCTCTGACTCATCAGCTCTCTGGCCTACTGGCTCTGACTCTGGTTCTGGCTCTGAGGCTGCAGTTTCAAAGGAAATGTTCTTTTGGTTTTGTTCATCACATGCTTAAACATACTCTTTACTACTGACAGCACATTATATGGAGGAGAAGGGTTATCCAAAACTTCAAAGTACAACAATGTTATCTTCCTCTTTGGACTCTCCACTTCCCAGTTAGGTTAAACTTTGGCACTATTGAGGCAGTTTGAAAGTAGACAGACCAAATTTGTGAATCAAGTCACAAAACATTAACTGTCTTAGCTTCCATTTCAATCAAGTGACATTGGTCTATTATTAATGTTGGACTATCATGGCCCATAAAAAGCTCCTGCTCCAGCACAAAGCATTTGCTCTGAGTGACATCACAGTCCCGGATTTTATTGACTTTAGACAGCAGGAGGGGCCGCCTGGGCTAGCCCCCCCCCCACCCACCCACCCCCCCGGGGCCACAGTGCCACAGCCACGGCTGGTGAAGGTGTGAGTCAAGAATCTCAGAGCCAGGCTGTTACGCCACCATCTGGGCCCCTGAATTAAACATCAGCTCGGCAGACGGGCTCCCTGCCTGAAAGCTTGAGGGACCGGGGCCTGAAGCCAATTAACCCGGGCCAGCTCTATTCAGACCTTACTTTGTAGCCAATTAAGAGGGCATATTAAAAAAGGGGATCAAAAGGGAAGAAAAATGATTAGGTTGGCAAACAGGGCATAGTTTGCATAAAATCACAACGATGAAGGGGAGCTCTTTGTCGCTGGCTATGATCGCAGTCATCATAAGTCGAATAAATACATTCAGAATGCCCTCGATGCTCATTAATAATAACTGGGTCCAGTTGAGCAAACCAACAATATTTGCTTCCAGTAATTATAGGATCACTGAGTTCTCTTTGTTTAAGCACTAGGTGCTGAACATGGAAAAATCTTGCTGTGACATCAGGCACTTTGTCACATTATGTCACTGTGTCATCAGACACTACAGCTCAGTTCCTCTTCTCCTTATGAGGAAATACTTTTCCAGATTTGACAAGGACAGGAAGCACAGTGAAGACATGGGTTGTTTTGCAAAAATAAAAAGGTTAAGAAAATCATTTCATTGAAGAAGCCTTATGTATTTCCCTTTTGAGATATCATCTTTATTTCCCTTGATTTTGATGATTTAAGCAGAGTTTTATACAAGAGGCGATTTTTTTTAAACTTTACTCTAAATGAGAAAAACATGTGTGGGTCACTAAGATGCAGACAGTGGTTCTTTTAGCTTTCATTCAGAGTAGCTCTGAGTGTCCCTGAATATGTTTAGGATGTATTTTCATACTATGCAGGATGTAAACTGTATTAGGACAGTAATATGCTTTTTATTGTTTGGGCTCTACTCCAGCATGCTGGATTTGAAATGAAATACTTGATATGAAGGTTAAATGCTGACTTAAAGCCTTAAGGGTGTTTGTGGGTATTCACATACACATTCACACACACATTGAAATCAATGAACATTATATGAAGTTTACCCTTAGTAGGACAAGAAGATAGGTATGACAGTTGATCAAATGTGTACATGTCCTTAGAGATGAGGAGTTTCTAAAACAGAATAAATGAAATACTGATGCCTCTATGACCTAAAAGAGCCAAGAGACCATCAGGGAAAAGAGAACCACTTTTAGTTATTTGCAATGCCTGGCAAAGCTGCCAGCAGGTCAGTGTCAGACAAACCATTTTACAGAACATACACCAGAAGTGCCCTTTGTTTACATTCTCTGTATGACTCCAAGGTCAGTGAGTTGTTTTCTACTGTTAAAAGGAAGAAGATTGACACTTTTCTTGTATAAATATCACACATGTTTACAGGACAGGACAGGATCGGCTCCTGTTTCAGTTCCTGTTTCATGACCAGTGTTTAACTGATTATAAAACAGATTTAAATTATTATTGATGCCTCTCTATGAGCTACAAACAAGAAAATTATGTTTTTTTTAGATGAGAATAATATTAAATGTTTAAACCACTGCCAAGAGATAGGTGTCTCACAAGATGAGTAACACTGGCTCAAGAAAAATCCAATTTTTCTTTTTAATTAGTAAATATTTACCAAAGGAGGTCTTTTATTTTGTTAGAATTGAGATCCACAGGCATACAATTCATTCCAAATAGATGATTATATGAAACTTTGCAGTGTGAAATCATTTCCTCAATGCACTGACGTTTACTTTTTGGTGCTGACGCAACTGCAATGAATACTGAAACAGAGAAATCTAAACACTGAGAAATGTCAGAGTATGTGACACACATATTCCATGTAGTGCATTGTAGACAATGACTACAGAGTTGGGAAGTTAAAAATTGACACCTTCTTTGGCTCGGGTCAGCTGTGATATAAAACAGAAGAGAGAAGAAGACCATCTGTTTGCTCTACTTCTTACCCGTACAGTATCTGTTACACACATACACACATGCACATTTACACACATGTTCTTTTTTGTGAGCTGGCAGGGAAACTTCTTGGACATAATCTTTTGTAGCATTTGTAACAAGGAATTCATTGCTTTTAACTCTGCAAACGCCCCCGCTGAATAGCTAACATTTGACATCAAACTATTCCCTCGGGGAAGGAAAAGGTGTAATGACGGTGAGACTAAAAGAAACAGGTGTTCTTCTTGCTATGGGGGGTTAGGTGCTGAGAGTAACAGAAAGGTTGTGAATCACTGCTAATTGCATGAAATTATAGTCGTGAAGTGCAAAATGAACTCATTGTAGTGTAGCTTTGTGTCACCACAATTACAGTAATACTTTGGATGCTTGTGGAGGCATTAAATTATGGAATGATGGGTATTTCTAGATGCTAACCGAACAATGACTCTGCCTTACTGGAAATGCTACAGGGGATTTACAGAAAGCCCACTTAATTATAATCATTTGAGAACAATTAAAAAGCAAATTTAACAACGTAAAAAATGCAAACTCAGTTTTAGATCCACCAATTAAATAAAAGAAGGAAAACGTAACTCTTGCAGACTCGTTGAAATAAAACCATTGAGCCAAATGAGGTCAGAATATGACCTGGTTTTTGAAAACTGAATGATTGATGTGTGGCATTCTGTACAACAGTTCCTCTCCCAAGAGAAAATATAGAAATGATTCAATTTAATATGTAAATGACAGCATAGCAACCGTTTCAAATTACAAATGACTATGACAGACACCAGAACAAAAGCATTTTCCTCATGAACTGATGGCCTCTTATTATTCCATTGCTTTATCAGAAAAGGCAGCCCCGACCAAACCAATTTATATCAGACAAACAAAAGTCAATTGTATTCTTTGACAGACAAAAACCAATAACCAGGACAAATACTGCAAAGCCAGCAGGGAAATATCAGATGGATGATAAATCATAATATTTCAGTCACTAGTCTGTAGCCTCACTTATCCCAGAAGTGATATTCTGTGCTTTTCATGTACAGGACATGAACAGCAAAAATAAAAGACATGCTGCCAAGTCCACAGGGGGCAGCAAAATCAACTGAGAAGTTCCTCAAAAGAGGGTGAAGAGAAGTTAAACTATTTAAGATTTAAGGATTTATTTTTTAGGCTTTTTGTGCCTTTATTGGAGAGATAGGACAGTGGATAGAGTCGGAAATCAGGAAGAGAGAGAGAGTGGGGAACGACATGCAGGAAAGGAGCCACAGGTTGGATTTGAGCCTGGGCCGAGGCTTTAAGCCTCCATACATGGGGAACGCGCACTAACCACTGCACCACTGCGCCACTGCACTACTGCGCCACAAGTTTTAAAGTTGCAATAAACATTTTTGTCGTCCACAAAGGCAGATGTTCTTTAAAACATAAAGCAAAACGGCCTGATACACATTTTACAGACCTTTAACATCAGCCTATCAAGCCGTTGTGCTTACAAATTAGAAAATATTTGTAAAATTAGCCTGTACATATACAGCTTCAACAGAATCCTGCTGAAGTGAAGTTTCAAAGAACTTGAAATATGTCCAATATTGGATTGAAGTGTTAAACATTAATCTTTTACATAAAATAATAAACCTGTTTATTTAAGAGTTGTTGAAATTATATTACAAGTTAAACTAATTGTATGTATTCAGTATTTGTGTCACCGTTTCATCATTGCAGTGAGTCAAGACATGGGTAACAGAACATGTGAGTTTCCACACAACTTGCTTTTAGTCATGTTAAAAGAACTGAAAGCAGACTCTTGACCAATAGTTTCCTTCTTACTAAAGATCCACTTCTCCTTGAAAGGCTAAAAGTCATCTATGTGACGGTCATATTCTGCATTGCAAAGAATTGACTCATCTTGACAGGATTGCTTCTTGAACAGGATTTGAAAGCTGTCAGACTCAGGGCAAAGGAAGGAGACAAACTATCACTCAAGAGATTATCGTAAGGATACCTTGGTTTGTCCTTGTTTATCATGGCTTGTTTTGCTGCTGCCCTCCTCCTTCTTCTATCGGGATTTATCAACCTCATGGCTGCAAATAAAGACTCCTGTGATCTCTATGCTGCTGTCGGACAGAGCATGAGTCTACCTTTCATCTACGAGGGACTGACGTCCTCCCATGTGCTGAGATGGACTCATAACGACAGCATCATTTTCTACAGACAGCAGGGCAGAGTCTCTGTCGGAAAATCAGGAGACATCACTCCAACTGGATCTCTTATTCTGAAAAACCTGCAACCCTTGAGTGCTGGTTCGTATCAAGCCAATGTCCTGTACCCCAATGCTACAAGTGCTAAAACATGGGCCAGTCGTCTCTGTATAATGGACGAAGTATCAAAACCTAAACTCACCTACAGCTGCGACTTCAAGTCAAGTGCTGTTAATCTAAACTGTGAGGTGGTCAAAGCTCAGGGTCTGGTGTTCTCGTGGACACTTGATGAGAAGACTTTAACAAGCGAAACAAGACAGACATTAAGCATTTCTCTGGCACAGCTGAAAGGAGAGCGGCGCTTCACTTGTAGCGTGAAAAACAAAGTCAGCATAGAGAAGAGCGTGATTGTCCGTCCAACCTGTAAAGCGCCGCCACCATCACCTCCAACTTTGCTATGTTTCAAATCCAGCATTGTCATGACCGTGTTTGCTGCAGGAGTAGGTCTCATTCTGCTTCTGCTCATCATTGTTGTCATATTATGCTGCCGCAACAAACACAACAAAACACAAATGAGAGCCGGGGGTAGAGGTGAGCTAAGGATGCTTTCTCTCAACAAACAAGAGATGGACTCAGACGCCCCAGATTACGAGACCATGCACCCATCTGAGGACTCTCCACCCGCGACTCCAGAGCCTTCAGCCAGAGACTATTATAAGAATGTTTCTCAGCCTGAAGCTGAAACTGAAAACAGTCCTCCACAGCTGTCCTCTGCTGCTGAGGGACAACGACCTTCACCAGTGCCAAAGCCGAGGACGAGGAGCCCCCCGACGCAAAACATCTGAATGTGCTACAACACCAACCTGACCGTGGGAAGTAAGAGACATGTTTCAGTTTAACGCCCTGCAACGAAGAAAACAGCACAAGAAAATGTATTTTTTTGTCTTTACATTCACATAAAAATATTGCTGTACACATTTGACAATTTAGTCAATTTTATTTTCTATAATTTATGGACATCATCATGATGGGCTGTCGGCCTGTATGTGAGAACCTTAGGCAGCAAAATCTTAATTTTCTTACCAGCTTTAAATGTGATTTCTTCACTCATATATATATTTTTAAATGTTGTTGCTAATGTTAATTACTGCTGGGGATTTAGGGTTGATAGGGAGTTTGAAGAAATCATTTTCTGATCCCTGTTACACATTATGATATAAGAAATTGTGCTGGGTTTTAATATGAATGTTTTTTTTTAATTTGTCAGTGTTTGAAATACTGCTTTATGAGTTCTTCTTGATATGTAGATTCTGATATGCATTCTATAAGTATAACAATTTCCAGACAAGGAAAGACACTTCATAAATGTATGAATTAATCGATTTCATAGAGTAAAGCAAAAGACTTGTGGTATCATAGAGCTGTATCCAATAATTACTTCATTATCGATCCATCTGCTTTATCTTGTATTGGTTAAACATTTAGTGCATTTAAAGCTACATAATTATTTAGAGCACCTGTGCACAGCAGTTCAAATTGAGCTTGTTTGAATCTGTAATTTATTATGAATTGGTTGGGGAATGATTTCAGAAACAAATTGTTACAAATTTGGTGCTCTGGGAATTTTTCAGCAGCAACAGGATTGTGCACATGAGAGATCGAGCACACGGTCATGGTGAAGAAGAAACATGTCATCCAGTTTGATGCAGTGACTCATCAATTTATTTGCAAGAGTTTGAAGATGCTTGGAATTTTTTTCAGACTGAACACACAAACAATAAATGCTCGAATGTATCTGTTGTTTATGTTTTCATTGAAAAGTTCAAAATACAAAAAAAAAAAAGAAAACACTATTTCAAGACTTTTCATTCACAATGTTTTTGTGAATACTAGCTGTGTGACGGAAACTTAATGGACAAAAAATTCGAACTTTTTCTGACCCCTCTCTTCTTTTTCACAACTATTCACCATCTGACCTAAATTCTCCATGTGAGCATCATTATTGAATGAAGGCTATTTTTAGTAGTCCTTGGAAATTTGCATTTACTGTACATGGTAATCTTTTATGGTTAACTTGGGTTCTCTTTGATAAACAGCAATGCCTCTCTATGTTTATACATATATATATATATATATGGTGTTTGAAATAAATAAGGATGTGAAAACTGACTGTATATCAGATGTTTGTGTGGAAAACTACATTAATGAGCTTATCTGTGTCAAACACATCCCTTTGTCCCAGCTTCTTAGGCGTCAGCATTCTTGCACTTCTTAAAATTTGCTTGCTTGCAAGAAGTTATTAAAGGGGGGAAAAAAATCAATAGAGGAATGGATTAGCAAAGGCAAATATCTATTATCTCTGATGGGTAAATGGTAATCCACACATGAAAGTGTTTGCTGTCTCGCCTAATGCTGTGTGACAGCCACATAATGGATTCCCCCTGAGCGTCATCGCCTAAAACTTACAAGCCAATGTCATCTTTTGTCGGGCCCTGCTCCGCTCCTGCTCGCTTTACAGGACTGAAATTTCAGCCCAGCCGGCGGGGATTTGCCAGTAAAGCTGGTATCAGCTCCTGGAACAACGCCATTTGTCTTTCTTGAGAAACACTGAGACTTGGCTGGCAGCGTGCCACATCACTTTCCTTCAGCAGCTAACAATGTTCGGCGTATAGACCATCTCAACACATAAACATGGGCTCATTGTATTCTTACATACACATGGGACTATATTTCATGATAAAACTTAATGAAACACATCTCATATGCCTTAGCCAGATCTGCCCTGGATATAAAAGGGAAATACTTCTGAAATGTGTTTAATCAGTGGCTCTTGGAGTCTAGAGGTTATACACTTTTGATCTTGGAGTGTGTGTGTGTGTGTGTGTGTGTGTCCAGGAAAAGGGTCAGTCATCCATGGAAAGTATTTATACTCATGTCAGATCATTCCTACTTCACTTTTCTTGTCGTCACGGATTGCCAAGAATGGAAAAAGTACAAACCAAATCAGAAAATCAAAAGGTTGGCAATGCAGCACAGAGGCTGAAAATACAGAGTTTATGACCTTTTAGCATGCTTCAACCAACTCTTTCAAATGAAACTGACTGTTACTATAATGACTTTGAATACCACTCTGCTTGAAGCAATAGCCTTTAATGGTTATTCTAAGTATAAAATAAGAAAGATGACGTCATAACTTGTGAAAATGGTGATGAATTCCATCTTCGATGTTCCTTAAAGAATCAGATTTATGGTATCTGTTAGTGCTAACACACCAGTCCGGTTTATTTATTCTCCCTCCTTTATACACCTCACACTGTTTTTCACACTCTTTTATTCACACCACACATGTAATTTGTGGACTGGCTCCGCACTCTCTGTGGCTGTCTACAACACACCAAATCGATTTCTCCAATTTGCTGCTGAATCAGGCTGCAGGGACTTTTAATGGAGCTGGAATTCTTTCCAGACCTCAGCAAGATTGAACACTCTTCAGACTCTAGACGTATGAAGCCAAAGCAATGCTCAGTGCACAAGGCGTTTTATTAAACTCTTGATTGACTCTTACGGTATCTGAGTTGTAAAAAAAATATGTATATATATTTATGAATAGGATAGGATCGCAACAAGCTGAAATAAAACTTCCATCAGGCTTCGTTCTGAGTCCTGAAAGGTGTTCATAAAAGAAGTTCTCCCCATTGTTAGAGAGGAGCAGAACTTCTGACTGAATTATCTCTCCGATAGAGCTTTAAGATCCTGAAAAGAATAAAATGTAATGTTAAAAAATTTAATACAATTTTACCCAGGCATACCTTCCTCTGTAAAAAGGGGCCATCTAGTTTATGGAACAGGAAAAGCTGGTTTATATCTTTGTTTTTAAATGAATTTATTGCTCTTTGCATCGTCACCAAATACTCTATTGATGTTGACATGGGGACCAGGCTCTATCAAAACCAGTGCAAAAGGCTTACAAATCCTTCTCCAGTGGTAAATGGTAAATGGACTTGATCTTGTATAGAGCATTTCTGATTTTCTGACTACTCAAAGTGCTTTACACCGCATGTCACACCTACACATTTACACACTGATGGCAGAGGTTTCTACTGTATGTACTGAGACCATCAAAAGTAACTAATCCCATTCTAAGACATTCATACGCCGGTGACGAAGTAGCTGGAGCAATTCGGGGTTAAGTGTCTTGCCCAAGGAATCATCAGACATGTGAGCCCATGAGGAACCTGGGGTTTGTGCCCCAAAGCCTCCAGTTAGAAGATGACCGACTCTACCAACTGAGCCACAGCCACCCCAAATCTGATGCCCAATGAGTTAGCAAGTTTTAATCACACCTGTTAAAATTGCATAAAGTAAATGAGTGGAAGCAAAACAACAGAGAATGATCTCCTTGAAAAGTAATTGGGTTTATCTTTGTGCTCTGATGCTGCTCATATATGCTCTTCTAAAACAACGTTGAGCTAATGGCAATTTACACAATAATCACGTTTAAAGCAGCTTTGCAGAAGTCTTCTTCAGAAGTTTTCGACAATTTAACATCTGCACTCTACAGTATAGGAAAACATGAATAAATCCTTTTGATTGTGTGGACAGAATGAAAGAGATTTATACATGCATTGTCATGTGGTCAGGACAAGCAGTCATACAGGAAGAGGAGATGAGCAGAATCAATGTTCGGATCACACTGACAGTAAGTAGAACAAATATTCATATAATTTCATTCAAATGCCTCAGCAGCTGCTTTGAGCCAATCAGGCTGGCACGTGAAAAGAGAAAAGGCTGCGAAAACAACAGCCCTTTGTCCGACCCAGGCTCAGACAGGAGCATTGCTGCCATATGTAGCCTGTGAAGGAATGTGACAGAAGGTCTATTGACGTGAACATCACTGCTTTCTGTTTATACTTAAAAATAGTTTGTAAGAGCAAAAAAGTACAGAGTATTGTGCCGTCATTGGTAAAGAAAAATGTTTGGGTATATTTGAAGGAAGTATAAGGAACCCCATGAAAGATTGATTTTCATATTGCCTTTTTTATCATCACTAAAACAACCATTGCCCTGCATAGGCTGCAGAAATACCAATAATGTTACCAATAAAAAAACATCTGCAAACTTCTAAAGAAATTTCAACTAAGTTAACTGCTATCTCCTCCAGCTCACCCTCCATCCCACTACTCACAATGCCATCACCCACACCAACCACTATTGAAATGTTAACATTAATTACTTAATTACTCAGTAGCCAGCTTACCATCAACATACGCACTAAAATCTCTTCAAAGAATAGAAATGAATGTGTGTAACCCTTTCTGCATGACAAAGCAAAGTAGTTGGTCCCCTTATGAGCTTCAACTGGTGATGTCCACGTCATGGTGATTTTCCCGAACCTATCCAAACCAAAGAGACTTTGTCACGTTAGCCTTGTTTTAGAAGATAACAAAACGGTTGAAATCTTGTGCGCATTGGTGTTCAAGATCCAGCCAGACTGTGAAAAAAGTTATACAGAGTGGACAGGGACACTGACTTTCTCTCCTTCTGGCCTCGGCAGCACCAGTAGGCGGAGATTAGACCAGTGCAGTAGATGTTTTCTTTTCCTGTCATTGTTTGGTTCGACGGGTCAAATAATTTTGGAATTGTGGCTTTATTTCTGTACAGTTTTATGTTTTATACTTGGAAAATGTATGATGGTGAGGCCTGAGTGGCATCCCTATCTTATGTTTTATGTAACAGTCCACTTTCATTTTTGACATTAAGTTACAAAAATAAGAATTGATCTGATGCACTCTCTTTTCTGTTTGAATCATATTATTGATCTCCTTGATTAAAATGTTTCCTGGGGATTTGTAGTATATCCATAAGACTTAATTAAATGCTAACAAATACATCCTCAAGCAGTGGGAAACAATGTGGAACACCTGATGGTAATATTATTATGATTTTACATTTATATGGACTTCAGTAAGGTTTTTGTCCACAAATATGTTTTTTTCTCTTCAGTGAAACTGAAACTGGTATTTAATTGTTCCATTATTTTTTTGTTTTTTTTTACCTGCACATCATCACAGCACTTTTTTTTAACTACAGTTTAAGAATAGGAAATGGTGAAAGCTTACACTTTATATCATGCGTCATATATTATTCTGGCCCCAACGTATTTCACAGCAGCTTTTCTCTATCTCAGACAATGCTGTGGATTCCAGGTGAGACTTGCATTCTGTATTTGAGCTTAAACAAACATTCCAGACGAATCAGCTGTACACAAAAGAATTGGGGTAAACTCTAGTTAACAAATGCAGTAAAGTATAGTCCTATCATTTCCACCACAACCTGAGCTCTGTAATAAAAATGCCTCTATCAGCCAAATTACCCATCCTTGGTCTTGCACCTGATATAAATCAGATGGAAGAAAAATTCCAACTCCAGCAGTAATAAGCATCTTGTGAGCACACACTCGACGTTTATGCAAAGATCAAACATTTCCGCAACATACTTGGAGATGTAGTGTGTTTGTGTGCCAACACAAAATTACAACCTGGCAAAGAAGCAGAAGGAAAAAAAAAGCATCCCTCTGCCTGATGTGCATTTTGCACAATACAACTTTTGATTTGACATGTAGGGCAAAAGCATTTAAGATGATTCTCCCAGATAGCTATCATACCTTTGAGGAACACCCAGAAGACATCATTTGGATAGTTTGAAGCCTTTGTCTTGTTCTATAGGCCTGTCTCCTCTCAGAGAAAATGATCCTTTAAGCCTGTGTGTGCAGGGATAACAGCATGTCAATGATG